CCGGCAGGCTCCAGCTCGTCTCCGCTGGCCATGGACCTCCAGGAGGTGGCCTCCGAGCGCCGCAACGTCATCAAGGACGCCGGCTGCCGGCCGCGCAAGGTGCCGGTGCATGTGCCGCCGCCCACCGACCCACTGGTGGTCTACACACCCTCGTGTGTGCTGCTACCGCGCTGCTCCGGCTGCTGCGGTCATGAGCTGCTCGAGTGTGTGCCCTCGAAGGTTAAACGGGTCCGCAAAAAGGTCAGTCGGAGACTGGGGTGTTAAGATGTGGGAACGGGAGTGGACTGAAAAATTGGAGATGATGATGATCCGTTTCTTGTAGTCCAAGCTTTACTTGGTTGATTCTAAGTCTTTTGCCAAGATAAATATCACCCTATTCTTCATTGGGGTATAAAAGTGCATGGCCAAATTGGAGGTATTGACTTACCGGCAACCGAATTGATTCGTTGCATCAATGAAGCTTTTAAAGAAAATGTAGATTAATAGAACGTTCCGCTCCTTTCCTTTTCTGCAGGTGCTGGCGCTACGATTTGCCGACGACGAGAGCATTTCGCCGGATGGCCAGGAGTCGAGCGTCAAACGGATCGAGATGGAGAAACACGTCGAATGTGAATGCACGTGCAGGGTACGTTCACCGTCACTTGCTCTATGTATTGCGTAAAAATCACAGTTAACGCTTCTTGTTCATCCTTACCACCGATAAGCGAACCCCGTGTGTTACAAGGTACTGAATGAATGTATGAATGAATGAATGAATGAATGAATGAATGAATGAATGAATGAATGAATGAATGAATGAATGAATGAATGAATGAAGGGCGACGTAACTCACGACGCATTATCGTTTTTAGCTGAACGATTGTACCGTGTCATGCTGCTGCGTAGTTCTCCCAGTTCAGTAACTCTTATGTTTGTCGACTTACTCAAACCGTTTCACTGGGTCCCAAAGCGCACTTGTCATGCAGACCCCGACGGCTGACTGTTGACCGTCGGTAAACCGCCGTCTCTCTCGTATCCGCCGCCCGACTAACCGCTGGCTGTTCACGGCTCAGGTGAAGGCGTCCAACTGTAGCGTCCGTCAGGTGTATGACGCCGGCAACTGCCGCTGCTTCTGCTCCAATGAACACGAGGCGGCCTCCTGCCCGGGCACCAAGATCTGGTCCGAGACCGACTGCGCGTGTAAATGTGCCAAAGTGGACGAGTGTTCCACGGGGCTGGAGTTTGACCCGGTCCAGTGCAGGTGAGGACACTGGTCGGTGGCTGGGGTCGGTAGCGAGCGCTGTGTGCATGATTTTTGTTTTTTGTTTTGCTCGGGACCTTTTATCAGTGAAAAAGTGCGTTCAGAACTTCATCAAAGCAGTGGTAGACTGACGATTTCAGTCAATTTTTGCATGCTTTTTGTCATGTGAGCAAGTAGTTGATGTAACCGGTCTTTTAACGTTTTGATGCTAAGTCATATGTCTGAAAGAGCTTTTACTAACACAGTAACTACCGATTGGTATCTCTTTTTGCATGCCTGGCGATATTTAAGCGTTATTCTAACATGCATGCAGCAGTTTCACGGATATAAAGGGCTTACGGGCTTTTCTGACTCCCGGTCCCTCATACGTCTCCGGGGTTCCTGAGACCGGCCGTTCTTTGTTACAGATGCCTGCCGCGGCCAATGCTGCGCTCCTCACCGCCTCTGAAGTCTGTCGGCGGCTCAACACCCTCCGGCAATGGCTCCCCACCCTCTCTCCCCTCTCTCTTCCCCGTCGCTCTGTCCCTCTCACTCTCTGTTCTCCGCTTCTAGATGTCTTCCCTCTCCGTCTCGGCTGCCTCTGCGGAGCTCGGCCGTGCAGTCCTCCGACGGGGGTACGGCAGCAGCCACCCCGACCGTGCCCGACCGGCGCGACACCCAGAGCGTCATCAACAGCGGCGCGTCGTCATCCGGCGGCTGGGGCACCGCCGTCTCCTCTGGCGTCATCGAGGACCGGCCGCCACCGCCGCGGTCCCGGCCCGCCCAGCCCACCAGCACGTACACGCTGCACCAGCCGTCGTACCAGCCGTCGTACCCCAACCAGCGGTACGACCAAGAGCGTACCTCCTCCCAGTCAGCGGACCGGCGGTACGACCAGAGCGGCGCCGAGACCCAGTACTCGGAGCGACGCCCCGGTGGAGCAGGTGGCGCCGGTCAGTATCACGGTCGATACGAACCGACGGCGCCCGACCCACGCCGCACAGATAGCCAGTATCAGGGGGCCTACTCGTCCCGCTACAATAGCAGGTGGTACGGGTAAACCCCCCTGACCACGCCCGCCGCTGAGGCTTCTGATCTATGATCTGAGTATGGTACGGAGGTGTGTGGAGGCTGAGTAGTTTTTGAGTGATTTTATTCCGTGTCGCTGCTGCTAAGTTTAAGGAGTAGCATTGGTAATGTCTCCGTGAGTGTTACTGCTTATTTTTACGTTCGCAGGCAAGAAACACTCGTTTATCGAGTTTCACAGAGGCACCATTGTGGTACTTTTAGGTTAGGTCGCTCTCAATTGTTTTCGTTCGCAGGTGTTGTGTGCCAATTGGTCATTTTACTGTTCTTTTATGTTGTGCTTGAGATCGTTTTGTTTATTTTTTTAATATTGAGGGTTTTTCAATATGCTTTTACGATCGGAATAATATACATTCATACGCTTTATTTTCATTTGAAAATATGCCCAACGGCCGTGCAATGTTGACATTCAAACGCTGTTGATTCTACCTTGTTTTCTTAGCAATCAACGAATTTTTCACAGCTATTTACTTATGCGATAGCATGATAAAGAGCAAAGTAAGTACTTACAGCTCGTGCATGCCTGCAGTTTGTATCTGTTCGTCAAGGACCGCATGATCACATTGAGGCCCCGCGAGTAACGGGTCAAGTCGCACTCGCGACATTCATTCGAGTAATACGACTTATATACTTACTGCAGAAGCTGGAACCATTTAGAAACAGTTCCTGATCCTAGCTAATACCTCAATGCGATGTGCTTGTGTGCGCTCTAACCTTGCATTTTACCCAAGTAGTTGGCGACAGAGTATGTACAGTGGGTCTATTTAAGATCTCCAGAGCCACCACGTGGCGCTACGGTCGGGGTAGGGCGAGTCCAAATCCCGAGGGAAGTGAGGTCACCGGTCATTGTGGGGAAGGAGGGAGGGGGAGTGACGCGGTATCACGGCGCATGGGGCGTGCGTAGCGCCGGGAGTGGGCCGCCCAGGGCCGCCCGCCACTGCGCCGAGGCTGAGGGGAGGGCCGGGACGATGGTTGTGGGTGCGTTCACTCCGGTATGGTGGTAACCTGCTCATGTGGAACCGGCAAGAATGCGACTGAAGGGAATCATTATCTCAAACAAACGGGCAAGACAGAGGCAGCGTCAGTTCCAGCCAAAATGTTGAACAATGATAATTGAAATCTAGGACGTACTCGTATTCATAGCATGCAACTATTCAGTCGATAGTTGCATGATGCTTTTCATGATGCATGATGAGGCTTTTCTTAACTGTTATTTGAGTAAGATATTTTTCATTTGGCACGTTTAATTTTGGTGGATTTTATCGGGTCGAAAAGAATCAGAAAAGAAAAAAAGAGTCGAAATGGCTCCAGACAAATTACCAAAAATATTTTCTTAAAAATGAAACTTAGCTTAACATTTATAAGCGGTAATTTTGACTTTTGGAGAGGATATTGGGGAAAGGATATTGGGGAAAGATGTCATCGTGCTTATCTGTGTTGCAGTGGAAGGAAAGGTTTTGGTTCGTGTCTAGATAAAACCAGACCCGGGAGTGGAGCTCGAACTCACGACATCGCATTCAGCTCACAGGTTACCCAACCTCAACGCTACAAGCACCTTTCGCCCTGCGGAGCTTGCTCAGTGTTTCGGCTAAAGTTCGGCCAAAGTGTGACGTCTGTCAATGTCACGAGGCGAAACCCCAAGGTAAATGTCCGTCCCGGTAGCTCGATCGGTAGAGCGTTGGACTCCATGTGCGATGTGGTGAGAGCGCACGTCCCGGTTGCAAAAGTCCGGGTTCGAAACGCGACGTGTGTTTGACGTTTTTGAGCGGCTCCTGACGGGTATGTTTTGGTTGGTGGCAGGCTGCCGCCAGGCGAAGTCAGTGAGGGGACCGGCCGTGCGCGGCTATGTGTGCACGTTAAAATTTGGACTCTAAATTCTGCCATAGACCAGGAATTGCTTGATCAGAGGGTAGAGAGCAGGGTCAAAGCAACAATCTCAGCTTAGCGGCCAGCGGGGACTTTGTCCTTGTGATTCCTTTCTTTCAAATGGTTCGGGCCAAATTTATATTAAAAAAGGGGGAGCCGAACCAGGTTGGGCCGGGTTGAACCCGGTTGGACCGGTGCGAGGCCGTATATAGGACCGGTGTCTTACACTCATGGTCAGACAAAACAGAGGCTAATTTGGGGTCAAATATTTTTATTAACTGATGTTATTGTTTTTGGCTCACACATATTACTTTTAGCTTTTTTAACTCCAGACTTCCTGCACAAAAAATGTGGCATTCGTCCACTTTTCCTCATCTTCTCTAAGCGACTTGATTTGACCTTAAATGCCCATCTTACCAGCAAAAAATAAATCACCTGCGTGATAATTATTTGCCAAAGGGCGCTCTACGCATGGAACGCCAGCCGGTAAAAAAACTGGCGAACGATACGATCTTTCTATTGCTTGAAAAGCAGCCAACTGCCAAGCTAACCGGCCGCCCGGCCCACCACCGCGATTTGGAACAACGCTGGAGTGCGCCATTTGCCTGCGGCAGTGCCCCGCCGCGCCGGGGCTGTTTGACAGGTCACCCGCACCGTGACCTCGCCACCCGCCCCGCCCCCTCCTCGCCCACATCCCCATCGGGCCCAGCTCGGTAGTGACCTCTCCTTGAATCTCACATGGACTCGACTGAGGCTCAACGCCATCTAGTTGCGTCTGGAGATCCTTACAAGATCCACTGTACAGTGTACACCTACAAAACACTGCCAGTGCAGCGGTCTGCTGTGACGTTCTATTCGTAGTTGGTAATTACACCTGGGATCCATCATCCATCCCTGCCAAACCGCCATGGCGTCAGCTGCTGCCAGCATCCTGTCTCGTCTGGCGTCACTCACAGCCACTGGTGCCACTGTACGGGCGCGTCTCGCAGCACAAACCTCTGCTGCAGCCACTGCGGGGGCCAGGCCAGCTGCGGTAGTGGCGCCTCTGGCGGCGGTGGCACCAACTTCCACCTGTCATCGCCGGCCGATAGGTGGCGGTGGAGTCGGTCGGGCGGCGGCTCGCAGGGCTGCGGTGGGGTAAACGGATGAACGCAGAGACCGGGGGCGGGCAGACGACAGTCGCGCTGCTGCCAGCCGCCGTGGAGCCAGCTGACAACACACCGGCCTGTCCCCGGCTCCCGGTGCCAGTCGGTGAAGGTGGGCGCCGAGCCGTCCGACCATCTGAGGAAACGGCAGGCATGAGCTGGACGGCCTCTGTCGGGCGCGGGTGGTGTGTGGGACACGACACGTGATTCAGCAGCCTGATCTATCTAAGCGTAGTGATAGGTGAATATATTATCAGTGATGCCTTGAAAGTTAGTCGAAGTCACCTGCGAAGTGCGAAAGGCATTTGACGCATGCTGTGCCGTGACGCTGCGGTGTACTGCGGCGCAGCATACCCCTCAGTGCACCAGCAGCTCGTTCACTCTAACCCCTCGTTCGATGTCTCTCGGACAACGAAGATTCTTCGTCGTCCGTCAATCACGTTCCATAACCACAGCCATGAGCCAAGCCTCCGCTGACCTTGAACGGGATTGGCGGGACCGGGACGACGTAGAATCTTCGTCGTCCGAGAGACATCGAACGCGGGGTAAATCACGAGCGTCCCTCTTCCATTCTCCTCTTTGACTCACCTCCACTCCGGCTCTCCGCTGCTCTCACTCTCGTCATGAAGCCCGATCCAGACCATGGCTCTACAATGTTTGGTCATCACGGAGCGCGCCGCAGCGTCTTCCTCGGCGCTGGCGACATTCAGCAGCTGCCCACCGAGCGACTGGCACGCCACCTGGACGGCCCCGAAACTACCGTCCGCCACCAGATGGTAGCACCCGTCCGTGCCGAGCGGGTGGAAGCCGGGAGGACAGACGCAGAGTTCGGCGAGGGCGATGGGTGCCAGTGTCGCCCACAGCAGCGCCAACGGTAGTCTGAGAGAGCAGAGAGGCAGAGTCAGTTCTGAACTGAGGAGGGGTGCAGCAAAAGGGCTAGATTCTGAGACGGGTACGGGCCACGGGGTAATAAGAGGGCGAATCCTGAGACGGCCAGAGGAAAGAGCCAGTTCTAGGACTGGAAGAGCTCGAAGGAGGACACATTTGGGTCTGGAACGAGCGGGCCGCGGGGTTATGGTCAGCTTCGAGAGAGGCAGGGATAGGATTTGATCATTTGATGGGTATGCTTTGACGCTCAGAAAAGCAGGGTCTATTCCATGATATGACCGGAGGAGCAGGGCTAGGACTGAGACGCTGGGAACCTTTACCGAACTGTTCGGGTAGAGATAGGCTAGGCTAGGCTCTGAGGCGGGGACAAGGGTAGGGAACAGGACCAAAACTGTTGAACCTTGGACTAGTTTAACCCGCGCGGGGCTGGGGTCTCCAGCCGAACGCGCGGGGCTGGGGGTAAATTTTACCCCCCCCCCCTGTTATCTCCCGAACTAATGGTCCGATTTGGAAAATTCAAACGCCAATCGAAAGATCTCATCACGAACAACTAAAAACATGTACTTAATTTAAAGTTTGAGGTCAAGGTCAAGGTCAGGTCAAGGGTACAAATTGCAAGTTTCTACAGTATCGACCTTGCACCGTAGTTGCCGAAGAATGGAGTCATGGACTGAGACTGATTGCCCAAAACATGTTCTTAGGCTACCAAGACAATATTCGTTGCATACAATATCATTCAGAGGTCAAGGTCAAGGTCAGGTCAGGTCAGGTCAGGTCACCAAAAACAAAATATAGAAAAGGGCATGTGCGACACATGTTTTATGGGTCATTTTACTCATAGAATTCAATAGGCACACTCAATAAGTGATATTGACCACCTCTGGATGAATTTCAGGTCGAGGTCAGGTCAAGGTCAGGTCAAGTGAGGTCAAATTTTGAAGTTGGTTGTTAAGGCCTAAAAAGGGGTCTATCTGATGCAGTTTTCACGGCGAATCGAATGGTGCTATTTTTGTTTCCGTACGAGGTCTAGAACTTCCAAAAAAAAACCTTTTTCAAAATTTTGTGTGTCGTGACGTCATAAAATTCTTAATAACTCCCACATTTTTTAACCGATTCTTCTAATAATTGGTATGTAGGGGCACATAGACCACTTCTCTGACATATATTCCGGTTTTTTCGATACACTCAAAATTTTGGATTTTATAATTTTTTTCCCAAAAAAGTCAGTTTTTTGAAAAAATTTGGGCCAAAATCCTAAATTTTCAAAAAACCGAGATGGCCATTTGATAAACAAAGTAGAATTACGTATAACCTTTTTTGTTACGTCTTGTTTCCTTTAAAAATGAACATGTTAGCGGCGTTTGAAATTTTGCCGTTTTTGAGGCGAAAATGGCGAACATGACGTCACTAAAACGTCAATTTCTCAAAAAATTTCCGACAGAGTTCGCTCAAATTTTCAGGGAACGTGTCAAATTGATGTAAGAAAAGGTACTGAAAGTTTGGCGGCGCTGCGTGCCGCCGTTCTTGAGATGTTGCAAAAATTCGCGAGGGGGGTAAAATTTACCCCCCCAGCCCCGCGCGGGTTAAGACGGACCAGGAGCATTGAGGGCCAAAGGATTCCCTGACTCCTGAGGAATTGGAGACGAACAGGGATAGGGATAGGCGGTAGGCCTGGACATCGACGTTACCATGAGTCATGAGGATGATTTTAAACCTTGTGGGATGTGGAAGTGTTAAAAACCTTCATGTCAAAGGTAATTCACATATTGTGTTATACCTGGCCGGCCGAGGTGGGGGGCGGGTGCCGCCCCCCCATAGGGTTTTTTCGCGATAGCTCCGAACACGCTGGGGATAGAGAGCTGAAACTTGGCATACCTGACCTTTGGTTCAAGCCGGATCTTTTGACACCAACCGCATTTTGGGGTCAGGTCAGGTCACTGACCTATGACGTCATAAGTGAACCTCTGCACGGTCTTCAGATGTCGCAACTTCGCAACGCCCTCACTGCCAGAGGAGATGTCACAGGGAAATGAAACTTGCAGGATCTAGTATCCATTATGAGTCTCACAACTTTTATATCTCGGATTTTTCCTAAAGGTCATATGAGGTCAGGTCATTTTCGTGACCTCACCATTATAAGTCAATGGGGAAAAATGAAAACTGCTATTCTGGCGCCGGGAACGATCTCCAACTATCTCAAGCACACAGAATCGTGATTTGATGCATTCCTTGCAAGGTTAGATGCGTCACTTTTGCAATGTTGACCTTGCGTGACGTCATTTATGACGTCATCAAGGTCATATTAGTTTTTCGTCAATAACTCTTGATCAAATTGAGCTAGCGAGTCGGGAAAGCCACCAATGGACTCAGGAAGACCTGCCGAATCGAATGATATGCGACATGACCTCTTTCGACCAACTTCGTGACCTCGGGGTGCTGACCTGACCTTGAGCTGAGGTCAACACCCCAAGTTGACCTGACCCGGACAAAAAGTATATCATTCGACGCGCCTGAGCGAGGCGAACACGATGCTGCCAAAATCGCGGCTCTGCGGCCGTTTATTGCGAAGTTATTCACCAAAAACTGAACCGTACCTTGGGGCACTTGACCTGACCTCAGAGGTCACCGGTTGACCTAGAACCTTAAAATCGGGTACCAATCTCTGCGTCTGGTAACGGCGCACCCGCTCGTTTTTTCCGCGACGCGCTAGCTCCACCAGGGGCGAAACGGCGAGGGGGGGGGGGGTCGTACCCCCCCCCCCCCTCGGCCGGCGCGTATGTAGAAAACCAATAGGTCCGGCGAGGGTTATGAGCAAAACTCATTACAGACTTCTCTAATTATTAATGTAGTGGTGGTGGAAGAAGTCGCAACTCCTAAAAGGTGTATTGCATCGATTTTAATAGTGGCTTTATAGTTAAGTGTACGCGACAGCATTATCACTCACCTCATGTTGAAGCTGCCAAAAATGCCGTGCAAGCCTTAGCTCGATGAATGATCCTCTTCTTACGCCGTTCTTTGGCTGATCTCACGCCACACTGCCACGAGAGGCCGATTCGGCGGTGTGGCTGATGCACTGACACACTCGCTGGTTTCAACACTTTTCTCGCATGGATATGATCGGCGCAGCTACCTACTGATAAAAAAACGAACGGCGACTGACGACTGACGACCGATGACTGACGATTTGCGACAGACGTCTAGCGACTGAGCCCTGACGACTCGACACTGAGCACTGTCGACTGACGACTGCGGCAGTGTCACACAATGAGGCCTGGGTGGCTCTCAGATCTCCAGACTCCAACTGTTGAACAATGGTCGATCCGATGACTGTAGCCGGTGCCTCGGCTCAGGCTAGGTGTCATAAAGTGACACCAATCACTCATAACCTGAGACGGAGCCTCAGAACTACGCTGGGTGTAAATGAATAGCTAGTGCATGTAACATGTTTGGGTAAGGTTCCAGACAGGTTCCCAGTTCCCAGTTCCCACTCCGGTGGACGGTGACGTCGATCTCAATTCATGCTGGTTTTACAGGCAACAAGTGAAGTTAATTTGTGGTCATCGTCCAGTCGGTTGACCGGACTTCAGCGGGATGCTATGTGCAGTGTGCACTGGAATGGCTTTTGGCGAGGACGCTAGGTGTGTGCTGTGAAAACAACTATAGGATGTGAAAAAGGTAGGTACGAATCGCATGACGCATATTGATTCAACAACATTCTACCGAAGAGGCATTATTATTTACAAAATTTCGGTTTCGAAGCCGACACATAAAAAAATGTTTTAGATTGACGCCATTGATTGGTGACCAATTTAAATCTGTGAAGTAGGCGGCACAAAACTCGGTTGTTGAGGACGAACAATAGTTATGATGGTTAGATATTGGTTGGAAATGCACACAAAAAAGTCGCATAAATAAGTACAAGCCTATTGAACTCGTAGGTCTGCTTCAAAGTTCAATTTTCCCTCGTAGTCTGTCGCTACCAAACGCACTGCGGTCCCATTCAGTACTCGTGATTCTTGATGAACTGGTCCGCCTGGGCGGCGACTCCTTTGCACGAGCCGGACTGGTAGGTGCCCAGTGCCGCCTGGCTGTTGGCTCTGGCCCGGTTCAGCAGCTGCTGCTGGGCCGCGAACACCTGTTCTTTGCGCCCGGCCCACACCCGCAGCACGGACGCCTGCAGCGCGCGGCCGAAACTGAACGTCAGCGACCAGGGTTTCTTCCCGCGCACCTTGTTGATCTCACAGAGCATCACGGTGGCCTCCTCCTCAGTCATACCTCCGGAGAGGAACGTGATGCCGGGCACGGCGGGCGGCACACAGCGCATCAGACAGGCGACAGTGGCGCGCGCCTGGTCCTCGGCGCGGTACACCAGCCGACTGGTCTTGCCGGCCGTCACCATGTTGGGCTTTAGCAGGGTGCCCTCCAGGTGGACGTGGTGGTCATGCAGCGCCTTGTAGACGAAGGCCAGCACGGTCTCGGTGACCTTCTGGGCTCGCTCCAGGCTGTGGTCGCCGTCAGGAAGGACCTCCGGCTCGACGATCGGCACCAGTCCGTTGGCCTGGCAGATGGAGGCGTAGCGCGCCAGGACGTTGGCGTTCTCCAACATCGCCTGGTAGCTGGGGGTGTTAAGACCAATCCTCAGCACGCAGCGCCACTTGGCGAACTGGCAGCCGTCCTTCTTGTACTGACTGCAGCGCTTGGACAGCTCGTCGAGCCCCTGAGTGGTCTTCTCCGCGTCTGTTCCCATCAGTGACACCACTCCCGTATCCACCTTGATGCCGGGGATCAGCTTCCTCCTGCGCAGCAGCTCCATCATGGACTTGCCGTCGGCCGTGGTCTGGTAGACGGTCTCGTGGAAGAGCAGCACCCCAGAGATGTAGTCGGACAGCTCCGCCGGCGCCGTGAACAGTAGCTCGCGGTAATCGCGCCGGTTCTCCTCTGTGTTCTTCACTCCGATGCCGTCCAGCCGCTTCCCGATCGTACTCGTGGACTCGTCAGCGGCCAAAATGCCCTTTCCTGACGCGCACACGGCTTGAGCGATTTGCTCGAGCTCGCGCTGAAGCTCGGGAGGAGGGTAGTGGAAGTGGGTGCACATATCGGAATTTTATGGCCCGGAACGATCGGCAAAAATTTCCCGCGTTTTGTTCGGACAATGCGCATAATTTGTCTCGGGAACTATTTTCAATTTTAGCGGGCTTCGCTGAATAAACACTGCCTTTTAGCCTTGATTTTTGTCTGAGTTAATCTGTTTGAAGCTCGAGATATACTGTAGACTACGCCTCATGGAAATACCCAGACACGTTCAATACAATGTCCCCGATGCCTACACTCATCTTAAGTTTCCAGGTTTAATGCCGAGAAGTCAGCGTTTCCAGACGAAACGATCATCACCCTTGTTTAAGCTGGTATCGCTATGGCTCCTAATCAGCTGCTTCGTTTTGCACACCCACACGTAATTACCTTTTCAGAATCCAGACACCATGCTGAGATAATAATTCGTGATCTTCATCTCATCTCCTTTCATTATCCCAAACAGCCGGCCAAGCCAAAATCAACATGTCAGTACGAGGGCCGGGCCGGGCCTTTGTTTTCAGTAAACGTGTCGGAAGTGAGGAGTCTAGCAAGCAGTGGCCGAGAGCCGCCTGCTTTGATGTCCCTATCTATCGTAACGCTCCTCTCGTTAGCGGAGACCCGCCAGGTCGTCCGCAGAGCGCTCCTCAGAGACAGCGACCAACTCGACAGCGCCGGCCGTGCCCGACCACAAAGCCTGCAACGCTCGGTTTAGCGTTCGAGGGTCTAATTAGAAAACAGTTTGAGAACGGTGCTCGAGCCCGTCTGAGCGGCCCCTCTGCCGAGCTAAGGGGGGGGGGGGCGAACGGCACTTACCATTGGGAGTGCGGTGTTCTCTCCGGCCGCTCCGTTCCGAAAAATTGGACGCTCCTGTCCTAATTGGAGCCGCTTTTGAATTTAAACAAGTGGATGGTTTTTTAATTGGAAAACTTATGAATGCCAGAGAGGAAGCGTTTTGGCAGACGGCACGAATAGATAATGATGTGGAGTTAAAACGAGCTGGAGTCGTGCCGACGCATCTCACTCTGACTTTAAATTGCAGCGGAGTGGAGGGAGAAGTTATGACGGTAGAGCAGTCACGAACGATAGAGAGAGATATAAAAGAGCTGACAGATGCGTAACTGGAAACATTAAACAAGAAGCAATAAAACGGCAACAATGTTTTCTGCTCTCTCTCTCTCTCTCTCTCTCTCTCTCTCTCTCTCTCTCTCTCTCTCTTCCTATCTCTCTATTGATCTCTTCCCTCTTTCCTTTTCTTTCAACGCATAGTGGCATTCTTCCCCTTTAGCTCCTTAATTGCTCCCGCTGTTCTTTCTGTATCAAATATTCTACGATCATTATTGCAAAATAATTTATAAAAACCATTAGAGTATCACAGCATAAGCGGATTACATATGGACTTCATAACGTCATATATGTATGACCTCAAAAAAGCTAAGACACCGAGCTATCCAATTGGTTCGTATAAACGCTGTGTATGTGTTGCTGGCTGTGATAATTTAAGTTTAGGCTCATTATTTGTATCAGTGTTTCCTATTGATTTAAAATGAACCAGAGCACGCTTCTGACGGTCCAAAGTGACCAGCAAGGTGACCAGTATTGACCAGTATTAAAAAAGAGAGACGCTGTGAGAGATCTATTGCGTGTTAAAAAATTAAAACTTACTGAAAAAAACGCGTACCTAGGTGATCACCGGGCACTGTCGGAAGGGGAAGGCACGGTTAACTCGGTCGTCGTTGCATTTTTGTGGGTTCTGCCCATGTATGATGCCCGGATCTGGTGCCCAGCTTCATGCGTCAGTCCCTCTCCGCCAGCGGTCCCGGACGGCAGCGGTGACAGGATGAGACGACAGGGGATGGGCGCGGGGCAGCGGGGGCGGCCCGCTCGTTAGACGCGCTTTGAGCCGGCCGGCCAAATTGGCCCCTAACCGGGCCACTCGCAAGGAAAAGCGGTCCAGTTTATATCAATAGGCGCCAATTGGGCCGGCTTTGTGCCGGTGGAGCGCGGTGAATATCGCCGCAAACACCGCTGGGAGAGACTCCGGAGCGGCTCCCGGCCCGGAGAGCGAGCATAATCCGAGCCGGCAGCCGAGACGGGCGCCGGGAGACCGCCGAGCTTTGAGTCATCCTAAATATATATGTAGATTGTAGGTACTCTACTCGCAATGTCAAATACCATGTACAATTTGTGAGAATCAGTAAACAGAAATAGTTATTGTAGCGAATAGGTGTGTCTAAACCGACGTTTTATTTGATGAATAATAAAAATTCATGGCTTTTACCTAAATGCACGCACGTACCACTACACGTCACATTTATTTGTCCAAACGGCTGAAGCAAACACATAACAGTAAACAATGTCTCGCTTAAATATCTACAATCTACATTCATGTAAGTTACAGACATAGACCTCTCTATAAAGTGCATTAATGGTCTATGGTCTATGGCTCAAAGCACTGTAAACCACTTTTTAAAAAGCATGCAAGTTACAAGTTTCAGCATGTACAATTCATATAATGTACAGAACACACAACTACACATCGTATGTCGGGCTGCAGGTACTCTTCATCAGGATGAACAAAACTGTGCTTTTTTTAACCACTGCTCTGCTTTAGATGAATCGGTACTTTTGGTCGTTAGACATGGCTTCTGAATTCGTTACCACCAGGAAAAAATAAGCGATTCTGCATGAGTCAGCTGATCTCGAGCTGCATTATTTTCATGGAATGTGCGCAAATATCTACGCCCACTCACAAACTCGTTTCACTCTCCACACCTCCAGCTGCTTTTTCCATTCTTCGAGGCCACATGCTCTTATTTAGCTTCATATAGCGAAGAGTTACATCTAAGTATTATGCCTTACCACTGCACACAATGTCGAGTAGAAATAAAAACACTTTTTGGGTATTTAACTTGCTGATTTACACAACTGCACATACTAATTAGGTTAACTTTACATACCTATGACCCATCCCTGCGCCTGCATCTCTCCTTAACAACAAATCACATCACCTTTCTTTTAAATCACCGTCTGTCTCGCACCTCGCCACATTTCATAATTTCTGGGCACGTACTTACATATCGCTCCATACGCTCGGCCACCCTCTACTGCACGTGTCCAGAGCTGGTCGGTAGAAACTGCAGGGCGGGGAAGACGGCGGGCGCTGCCGAGGTCGGCAGCAGACAGCCGCCCTGGGCAGCTGCAGCTGCCGCAGCTGCCGCTGCCGCCGACTGGATGTCCAGCAGCAGGCTGTGGTAGCTGCCGGCCGGCTTGTCGCCCTGTGACGTCATACTGGGATGATGACGTAACTGCTCCAGACGCAGCTGGTTCTGCCGCTTCCATTTTGTTCTGAAGGTTTGGAATGGACCATGCAGGAGAAATTGTGTCAGCTGTGAGAGATGAGTAGCTGAGAAACAATCATAACATATAGTCTTCTACTTATTCCCGGTTCCCCTGTTGCGGCTCTAAAAATACCACATTGTATTGTGCCTATTCATCGAAATGCTAGCTGGCAAAACATATTTATTTGACGTGATATTTTCAAGTTTGCATGTTATTATCAAATACATAGGTATTCAAGCCAAATTTCCATTTCCTAAAGAATTAACTGTGGTGTTGATGCTAATGTAGCTGAAGCTAAACTTATGAGCTAAACTTACAATTCAATAAATCGCATTCTTACCGTCTGTTCTGGTACCAGGTTTTGACCTGTGTCTCGGTGAGTGTGAGTGTGTCGGCCACCTCGGCTCGGTCCGCCACGGAGAGGTACTTTTGTACGCGGAACCGCCTCTCGAGGAAGGCCAGCTGACCGTGGCTGAACGCCGTCCGACGTCTGAAGCACAGTGGAACAGACGTGACGGCGACCAGCGGACATAGGCACATTACACAGCGGATAATTTGTGGACAGCAAAGCAGACAATAGTGGTGCAAGAACAGAGCAAAATAGAAAAGACAAGGCGTCAAATGGTGCGCAAAGTAGCCGAACGCACTGTGAGGTATTCATTGCACAGTTTTTTTTTGTTTTTTTTGTTAGCCAATCGTCCCGTTAACTGACCTTCGGGGTCTTCTAGATTGGTGTTCGCTGCAGGCTGGTTCGGGGCTTTGGCAGCCGCCTCGAATGCTGTCAGGCGAAGCTAGCGAGTGGCTTGAACACTTGGATGGACCATATGCACCTGCGAGAAAGACATTAATTAAGATGCACGGCAGGGCAGAGTGCAGACTCCATACCTGCACCTTTACGAATGAATAAATGGACAAATATGACAACGGCTAGCCCACAGCATTTGATGTTGTGATACATTTTCTTTGACCGTGCATCAAAGATTATTAGGGAGCATGCATGGGCATTCAACGATTTTTGTTCAATACATCATCACCAAAAGTAATGGGCGGCGAATCAGGAAAACGGCAATCGTCTATACCTGAGCCTCCTCTTGCATATGACATCCAAGAGCAAAAGCTCAGCTCAAGAGACATTCCATTTGAAGCTAAGAGCATATTTGTGGAATGCTGGGTGTACTTCTATCGTACAAGTGTCGTCCTTATTCCAACGTATTGACTTTGCGGCATTTCCCAAAACTGCAGAGCTAATCCCAAATCAATGCACCTTCCAACCAAGCAGCACTCATCGCCGTCCATCACTCACAAACCTCTATCAGAAGTGCCACTTCGGCGCCTCCGGCCCACCCCTCTCTCCCCTCCGCTCTCTCCCCTCTGCCTGGGAACCGCTCGGGGCACCGCGGCCCCCGTCGACAAACTAGTTTGCGTCTCATTGAGGTGGTAATGACGGGTTAGCTGTCACAATCGACATCAGCGCCGGCGGCCCCAATCAAAACGGGCCCCCCACCGGCCCCCTCACGACTAATTGGTGCATAAATTGAGCGGAAAAGCGCGCAGCTGAAGCGCTGCTACAGTGTCGGTGTGGCGCGACCCGACAGGACTGGTGTCGGAGGAGCGGGGACGGGTGCCGGGACGGTGGGAGGTGGTCGGCGCGATGCCACCTTGGACGACGGATAAAGACGGCGCAGCGGGCGGAGGTGGTCTGCACGGCGCACAGTACAACTGAGCAGATGTTTGGCGGTGTTTAAATTTGAACGGTTGTCTAACTGGTTTTACTTCATGGGAGGAATAGGCTGGGTGGGTTGGAAAACGGCGATTAAAGATCGCCACCTTGTTTCAGCCGGAAGGAGAGCAAACCAGCGAACCTGCTCTTGTTCGCTGAGCGAACAGATCCATATTGCCAATAATAAGCATATTTATTGAAGGTTCTCATAAGTGTTTTCGGGTCTTATGAGCTTCAAAGCTAAATGTTCAAATTCAAATTCAATTCAAAGCTAGTGTTCGTGGAATCATACGCTTTTTCTAGCCGAGGGCTGTGTTGCTTTTTAACTCTGAGCAATCTTCTGCTCCATTTGTGTCGCTGACCATACAACACCTCATCTACCATGCTAAAGCTCAGCCCCTCTGTGTCTCTCCGGAACCCCTCCTCCCTCCCTCCCCTCCCCGTCGCTCGCAGTGGACAGGGCTGATCCTGTTGTCTGGCGACGTCCCACTAACAGACCGGACAATCAGCACACACCAGCACCAATCGGCGCCTCGTTAGCGCCAACGAGCTCCCGGACGCTCCCGGCACCTCGCGCCACCAAAAGCGAGCTGATCGCGCGCCTAATGGCCGGGGGGAGGGGGGAGAGGGAGTGTCGCATCGGCTGATGAGGTGCGATCTTATGATGATAGGGACAATTACTGATGCGAAGAAATCAACAGACTGACCGCTGATGGTAATTTGGGAGATGCGGCTTCGTGAGTGACACCGTATTCGGTAGTGTGCCGAAGAGGAATTTTTATTATGGCCGACATGCATGGGTGTTATAACTATGTACTTGGACTAACTAGAGCTAAGAATACATATAGGAAGGCTATACCAACAAGCAAAAGCACAACTCCCAAAACTGTGCAAATGTGTAAATAGAATCTGAAGCATTAGAAAAATATTTGACTAAAAATGTGCGTTTCTCATGTCAAAATAAGACATTCGTTCATAATTTTGGTTCTTGGTTTCAAGGAGCGAAAGCAGGGACTACCCTACGTTCGCTCCTTCTTATCCTCGTTGTGTCATGGGGTATCTCGTTTACAGACTACGAGTTACGGAATGCGGATCATATTGTTCGTGGCTCAAAGTCCGTCTATAAGCCTCTCTCTGGAAGGATTTCGTGTAAACCATTGTAGTTATTGGACTAGCTTTAGCTGGAAAGCCATCGCCATTCAAGAAAGCCATTCAAGCTACAAAGATTTGAAGTCAGGTTTGTGTGCACAGCCTGGCTTAGGCGATCCTATTGCTTATGTCCCATATCCTAAAAATAAAGCAATGGTGAAAACATTTTAAAAAAACGTAAAACACGGGAACGTGACCCCGGCCCTACACATTATACGAATGTGCATGTGAGCCATTCCAGCTGAATCATCGGAGCGAAATTAGGCAAAGGAGAGTTACAGCCTACAGGCATGGTGTTTGAGATATAAAGCTACTTAAGACAAGTGTCGCGTAAAGACATATTTTGAAATATTTGTCTTGTGATGAAAAGCGTGAAGAGTTAAAGCCGTAATGTTAAATGCGCGAGCTACTGGGAGGCAGAAAAAATGGCATGAGATGAGACCTAAGCTAGCTAGCTTGGAGGCCCTCGTTCCAAAAGCACTGATTACCTGAGAGTGCAGGTTGAATGTTTTATGCAATTCATAGCAAATATGAGGAAAGCACGAACGCTGTTTGATTTGAACAAAAGGACATCTTTTGTTGTATAAGTACAGTGCATATGTAGTTTTGAAAAACGAGAAATAACACCAAGACAGGAACCTTCAGGAAGTTATGTCGCGGTCAGTAGCGGCGGAACACCTTCAATTGAGGGGGGACACTGCCGACTTTTGGTCCCATTCTTTCCATGCAACGCCCATAGGGCTAATGTTAACCCTCGTACGACCAGGCCATTTCTCATAACACGAACGACCAGGGGGGGGGGGTTGTTACGACCCCCCCCCTGGCGTTTCGAAACGGAAGGTCGTAGAGCTTAGCGGAAAAGACCAACGGATTGCTCTCAACGAGATCTCGCGATTGGTGGTATATTTTTTGGTCCTAGGTCAACATTTGACCTACTTATGACCGGTCAAAGGTCAAATTTTCGGAAAAATCTAACTTTTTCAGATTTCCGCGCCGATTGCGGCAAAACGGTAAGAGATATCGACTTGAAACCTTCACTATCGTGATCCTTGATCAATTCTCTATCGTTTGGTGCGTATTTCGATGTCATAACTCTAAAAATGATGCGTTGGGAGCATCGGAAGTCTGCAAGGTCATTTGTGCATTGGGTCACGTCAGGCGTGTGACGTCACTGACCTGACCCTGACCCAAAATGAACTACAAGAAACAACCGACGATGCCTGAAATGGATAGCAAATTCGAATTCAGGGCATCAAAATACCCCGAAAAGGCATACAAGTGCAAGAAGTCATTACAGGTCAACCGAGGTCACTGACCTGACCTTGACCTTTAGTAACCTTGAAAAGGTCAACGGACATTGTGCCAATGTCAAATCAGCCAGTTATGGTTCTAAAACAATCCATCAGTGTGTCAGGTCAGTCGGCATTTATACCAATGTGAAGCAATCTCCAATTTAGCGTAAATCTGGCCGGAGGTTGTTCCCTTTATGACGTCATAACTCCGTGACCTGACATGACCCGATCAATTTTTTTCGGCAAAAGATGCGCAAAGGTTGCCCCAGAGGGTATTGAAAATTTCAGCCCGCTACGACAAGCCGTTTAGCGTGCACTTCGAAAAAACCTCAGGGGGGGGGGGGGGGTTGATACAACCCCCCCCCCCCCCCTAGGCGTTCTAGGGTTAAAATGCCAAAATCAAAGGGGGGCACGGTGCCCCGGTGCCCTCCCCGTTCCACCGCCTATGGTCGCGGTATGCGCAATACACATTGCTTTCATTCCATGGTTATCATGTTCTGTGAATATCAAACGAGGATTAGCAGATCATAATGGCTTGCAGATGATCAGCAGAGTGCGGGTTTGTCAGCTTTTCTGTTTCGTTGGGAAACGAGGAAATTTTGTGATGACGATATGCGCATACCTAGTTATGCATTATTGAAATGAGCTGATGTGCTTCTTTATGAAGCTTATAGACGTTTGGTTAGAAATAGCCAGATTCGACTATGCTGTTGCTGTGTTGTGTGACATTGGGATAGACCGGAAGCAACAGGTGAATAGCGAATGAATGAACATTATTTAGCCGTAATAGTTAGAACGATGTCCTTGCAAAGTATGTTTATTTCAATTATTTTCTCACAATGCTGGTGTAATGCTAGAAATAACCATTTATACAGTTATAATTCCTTACATCCATTAAAACAGATCTGTAAAATTATTGCACACGTACCGAAATCCTCGTTTGCGCCATCCTCAGCGGAGGCGGCGGCCATGGCGTCCTCTTCCTCCTGCTCCTCCTTCGCCTCATCTCTCCGCCCCAGGATGTCTCTGATCAGGAACGACCGGTGCGGGTCGGCGCCACTCATCCTGGCTCCCAGCTCCTGACTCCTAGTTCCTGGCACCTGATTCCAAACCCCGGCTTCTGTCACTGGTCTAATGAATAACCTGCTAAAGAATGTCAAGTCTGACTCGTCGAGTCTTCTGGCTTTTGCCTCCTGAATACAGGTTTGAGCCTGGAACTCCTGAGTCCAACACCCGATTCCCGACTCGGACGCTGATTCCTGACCTGTGACAGTCTGTCAAACACCCATCAGTCACGGTGATGAATCGCGGCACATTCCGCTGCCGCCGCCACCCGGGACGGATAGGCCCCGCCCCCAGCTGTCGGCATCGCCTGCCCGCCCGCCGATTGGCTAGAGGTTCGCGGGCTGGAGCCTGATTGGCTGGCAGGGAATGGGTTTATGATGTGACGAAGGGGAGAAGGTGGAGACCACTTGTCCGCAAAGGCTGATTTTCTGAGGACAAATTGCCTTGGATGGCGCATCAGAATGCGTAAGGGCGTATTAGATGAAAATGGATTGTCTTTTATTCTTTAAGGAATGATGGAGCAAGCGAATGGTTGAATGCTCTATAGTCTTAACAATTATATCGGATATACCCATTAATGCGCTAGTTGAGAAGATGGCTGAAGTAAACTTAACGTAAATGTTAAGTCGAAGCCTATACGCTGCCACATATGTAGGTTTTGTCACATGTTTTCGTTATGCTTAACCCTAACTATTACTGGAAAAAACCCTATTCCTGGTGTTGGTGGTGGTGTGGGGGGGGGGGGGGCGATAGGACCTCAACTGTAGTTTTTTTTTTGCTCTCGATGGAAAACCACTTGAGCAAGGATTTCGAAATTTGTTTTTTTTTTGCTTTTTATTGAAAACATTGCGTCAAAAATTGAGTTTCTAGTTTGCACATCTAGGCGTTTCCAGGACCAGTTCCTCGGGGACAGCTTTGGTCCAGCTTTGACTGCTCAGACATTTGCCGCTAAGCAGCGATTTACATAGGTATCAAAGTAAATCAAATAAAAGTTTCATCAAAATCATAAGTGTTTTTGATAAGTGTCCTTATGATTTTGATAAGTTATCAAAATCATAAGTGTCCAATCCAGGTAGTTCATGTTACCTATGTTTACACATATCGGCTCCGTCTACCATTTGCATTGGTCGTTTCAGGGTGGTCGAATTATCGCATCGTCAAAGCACATCGTCACTGGAATCACCGGACCACGGCCGGTGCCTTTCCGCTCAGTTGGATACTGTGCCGCAGCGCACGCTGCTCTGCGGCACAGCATCCTTCAGGCGCAGTCGCTTACTGCCATCTAGCGAGCGGGATCAGAAGCTTGCGAGTGAGGAAAACGCTGTGCGCCACTCCGCGACGCGGTGCAGTGGTCACTGACGTGATCCTTTAGTGGTTTATTTTTTTATTTAAATCATGCATGTCTCATTTCACCAAAGCATATAAATGGGTGGATTGCTCGCTATTACGGCTTGCTGTCTAACTAATTTAACCCTAGAACATCCCGCGACTTCTTAAACGCGCTTAACAATGCAAATTGTAGTAGGCACAAGTATCATTGGTATAATAATCCGCTATAGGTAATAGTCCGTCCTTTATTACTATCAGCTCTTTCTTGCATGATAGTCACGCAGCGGGTTTTCTCCATGAAAGTTTATTCCAAAGTGTCGTCTTGATAAATGCCTGTATAAGGTCTGGTTACATATTATTGTCATGTTGCAGTCTGTTTAAAGAACAGTATTGTTTATTAACTGGCTATTGCTTTCACAGCCTCATTGCTAAATATTGCATGTATTCGTGAATCGCTGTGCAATGTGCATGTCTGTTGTATATGTAGCTTGTATGTAGGGGAAGATGGGGGAACACCGCCCTTTGGGGAACACCGCCCACCCGATATCAGAAATATAAAAAGGTCTAGAGCGACAGCTGACTGTCTTTTGGCAGCGTGACGACAACAGAAGTGCAGGTATGGGCACTGGGCAGTGCACCGCATTGGTTTAGGTGATTTGCGAGGCGTTCCTAATTTTATGTTTCGAGAATGCGTTTTATACTTTTTCTAGCATAATAAGCAGAAGAAAACTGATCTTATTTGACAGACATTAGTCCTGAAGAAGTATTTTATGCCATAATTGGGACTCATCCAAGCATTACGTGCTCCTGCTCTAGCGAAATTTTTGTCGTGCTGCCATATTGAAGGATTTTTTAAAAGAAAAATGCAGACACTTGGGTAACACCGCCCAATTGGGAAATTCGGTATTTAAAAGCACATTGTGACACCTAACCCAGGAGTGGCGCATTTCAAATAAAGAAAGAACGTTGTTGCTATGTTTTCTTTTTAGAGGATAATGAAAAATTTCGAGAAAATGAAATTTTGGGACTTAACCCTCGCCCGTAAACGGTGTTTTGCCACCTTCGCCCATGCAGGGGGGGGGGGTGGTGCGACCCCCCCCTGGCGTTTGAAAACGGAGCGTCGTAGAGCTTAGCGGAAAAGACCAACGGATTGCTCTCAACGAGATCTCGCGATTGGTGGTATTTTTTTTGGTCCTAGGTCAACATTTGACCTACTTATGACCGGTCAAAGGTCAAATTTTCGGAAAAATCTAACTTTTTCAGATTTCCGCGCCGATTGCGGCAAAACGGTAATAGATATCGACTTGAAACCTTCACTATCGTGATTCTTGATCAATTCTCTATCGTTTGGTGTGTATTTCGATGTCATAACTCTAAAAATGATGCGTTGGGAGCATCGGAAGTCTGTAAGGTCATTTGTGCATTGGGTCACGTCAGGCGTGTGACGTCACTGACCTGACCCTGACCCAAAATGAACTACAAGAAACAACCGACGATGCCTGAAATGGATAGCAAATTCGAATTCAGGGCATCAAAATACCCCGAAAAGGCATACAAGTGCAAGAAGTCATTACAGGTCAACCGAGGTCACTGACCTCACCTTGACCTTTAGTAACCTTCAAAATGTCAACGGACATTGTGCCAATGTCAAATCAGCCAGTTGTGATTCTAAAACAATCCATCAGTGTGTCAGGTCAGTCGGCATTTATACCAATGTAAGGCAATCTCCAATTTAGCGTAAATCTGGCCGGAGGTTGTTCCCTTTATGACGTCATAACTCCGTGACCTGACATGACCTTGACAAAGAAAATACCAAAAGTTGCGCAAAGGAGGCCCCAGAGGGTACCGAAAATTTGAGCAGGCTATCTGAAACGGTTCGGCGTGTAGCTAAGAAAAACCTCAGGGGGGGGGGGGGGGTTGCACCAACCCCCCCCCCTACATGGGCGAGGGTTAAAGTCGTCTAGTTATATAAATGAGTACTACATTGTCCCAGGTTTATGATAAAATCGTTTCCACTGTATTTTAGAAATTTACTAAAACGCCTCGAAATTTACGATAACAAGAACAACTTAATAGTCCAGCAATCTGCAAATTGCGTTGCCTGCTGAGCTCGGGCGGTGTTACCCAACGGTCGGTGTTACCCCGAAAAATGTAGACCTTTACTAAATGTGGAATAATGCAATTATGAACGACACTACAAGAAAACAATTGGTTGATATGAATGTAAAATTGATGCGACAATACAATGAAACTGAGAGATCATTTGGTCAAAAATTACGTGACTAGACCCTAAAAGGTTAAGGGGGTCGGTGTTCCCCCATCTTCCCCTAACTAAGTGCCACAGCATATTTGTATTCGCTTATGTATGTACATACATGCCCCCTACTGTTTCAGAGAAGTGATTGTTGTCTCAGTGTGTTTTCTTAGAGCGTGCGGCACAAACACTGCGCCTTTCTTTGACTTCCGGCGCTTTATTCACACCTAGTCATACATTCTAGAAATTTCCAGACATCAAAGAGAAAGCGTTGCATTGATGCACCTTTATTCGGGTCAAAGCTGCTGCGAGCGGCCGGCGCCGGCGGCGATTCGGCTGCGATTCCAGCCGCTCGGCTCTCTCTCTCCGGCTCTCGGTGCCCGCGGCCAACCGACGGCGCAAAACTCACAAAGCAATCTTGGCTCAATCTGGCCGGCGACAAGTGGCCCGGCCTCACATCGCGCATTGTTTAGCGGCGCACACCGCCGGCGGTGGTCCACGCGACAGCCGCGGATTAAACAGGCCTCCGAACGGATAGCAAACAATCGGGCCAGCTTTGAATACAGATGAGGCGCACCGCCGCCGGCGCCGCCAGCTGCAAATGAGGAGAGCGGCCTCTCTCAAAAGGGTGCCGCTCAGCTTGGTCTCGTCCCGGGACCGTGGAGCGTACACTGGTCCCCACAGACGTTCCGGCGGCGCCGCGGGCGAGTTGGCTCAACGGACTGTCTATACACTGGTGACCAGGGCCAGGGTGGTATACCAATGATACACTCATTGGACAATCATAGGGCAACAGCGAGGAACCAACAACAATCAAAGCGTGGCGCTACAACACAGCTCGGTGGGTTGGCTGGTCTACAATTATAGGTGCGGCTCACCATTGTCAACGTTACCAACACATCAACATCTCATTAACAGAACACATCAGTAACTTCAACATGAGATTCAAGCTCCTTCCTTGTACTGTGCTAATTGCAATGATTGCATTAACCCTCGCCCTGGCAGGGAATTTTTCATAACACGGCCTGGCAGGGGGAGGGGGGGGGGGGGTCGATGCGACCCCCCTCGCAATTGGCTCCTATGGCACCTAGAAACACCAAATTTGGTAGGTAGGTGGTCCCCCTAGAGTTCTCGCCCCTGTGCAAATTTGGTTGCTTTAGGTCAATATTTAAGGGCGTTTGGGAGGTATGAATGTAAAAATTTCGCAAAAAACAGGTCAAAAGTTTTTCGCTTATAAATTTTGATCTAATTAAGATAGACTAAAAAAGAAAAGCACCAGTGAACTCAGCACGTCAAGGCGCGTCGAATGATATACTTTAATGCTTGCTTAAGTGTACTTAAAATTTTCCTTAATTTTTAAGTAAACTTTAATTAATTAATTACGTTCAACACAATGAGACCATTTTTTAAGCTCTA